TGTTTTGTGTGTTGATCACTATTCTGTTTAGAATTCGCTGCAAGTAATCAGTGTAAAAAAGCACTCCTTTCACTCTCTTTGACTTCGAGGCCTAATGGCTTTTTTAGTAACGACTTTGTGTCTTTAACGGCACAAACATCATTAACCCAGGCCATTGTTATTCTAATCTCCCTCTGTCAGCGGCCTCGGAGGCACGGCTCTCGTTTTGTTGAAACAGTTTCTTCATTGTGAGATCTGAGGGAGGGGGAATGGAGATGGTGAGGTGACTGCTTCAACCGCTGCCACCTGAGCGGGCATCGGCGTCCAGAAAACCTTACATTTAGGGTGGTCCAACCTGCCATCTCCAAACCACGTCCTCCTGGCTCTCCTCTTTATGTGGTCCTAATTCCACCTCCCACCATCCCTTTCCCCCTTCTCGCTACACAACCTCTCTCACAAAAAGCCCCTCACACGATGAACAAAGTTTCACTGGCCCTCATTTGTTGACTTATCTGGCATGGCAGCAGTTGGGGTTTTAAAAAAAAAAAATCTTTAAACACCGTTTGTTGGACTTGTTTTGCAGAAGTGAGGTGGCGGACTGTTGTCCTCCCCCCCCCCCCAGACACACAGGAAGAGCCTCTGCCATCTCCTCCACGACTTGAGCAGGTGCAAAGACAAGGCTCAATGACATCTTTGTACCAAATGGAAGAGGTTTGGGGGTTTGACAGCACTCCTGGCTGGGCCCTGCACCACCTCCCCTCTGACTGCCTTTTTGGGGGAACTTGAACGTGAGAAGTTAGTGGTGACAGGCCGCAGAGGGGGAAACCATATATCCTGAAGTGACACAGACACCAAAGGTAGTTGGTTTTTGGCTTCCACGGCTGCCTGTCACATTGCTTTTATCACAGGCTGCTCTGGTCTTTTACTGGCTGTAGTAATTCATGTTGGCCCAGTGTTGCCTCTAAGCCCACTTCACAATGGAAACTCACAATAGCAAGTCCTGTTTCGTAACTATGACTTAACAGCAAAATGCATTCTATAGTCCAGGGATCTCCATGGTAAAGCATCTCTGAAATCATTTATCTTCCTATTAATCAAAGAAGATGAGTCAACCTTGGAGTAAAACCAATATGACCTGCAACATTTTACATAAAGAATTTGTTAATTGAGAGAGAACATTAGCTTTCTTATTATTCTAGCTGTAACTCGATCGCCTACCTTAGAATCATAGGTGCTGGTGAAACATGTGCTGCCGGGTGGTCATATGCTAGAAATGGCAAGAAAGTGATTTCCGGTGTTAGTTGGCAGCTTTTTTAGGACGCTATCCCAGATTTATGTCTACTGGGATGCTTTCCAAGTGTCTATTTCCTCCCCTGCCTACACGTTGCTATCAGATGTGAACATTCTGCCGCCTGCTTCCTCGTGATGTGATTCCCTCTCACTTGAGAAGATCTGGGATTTCAACCCTGTCGTCTAAAAGTGTTATGTTTTTAAAACTTATTGCCCTTGTATACTTGTCTTACTTTTTCTGCTTTTTAAATTGTAGAGATACAGACAAAATGTGAGGATGAATAATACAGTTTATATGGGTTTATTCATAGAAAATACAGTATAAACCTACATACAATTCAAAAAATCCTTACTGGACTGGACTAAGTCAGTAAGGATCCAGTCCAGGACCTTAGGCCTAACCATTTGATGCTCTCTCAACCATGGGGGCTTACAGTTCACAGTTCACTTCATGTGGGCAGATCCAATCTAAAAAAACATTTGCCTTGTTCTACCTGTTTGATTAAAGCATTTGGAAAAAAAGCCATTTCAAGACATGTTTTATCAAACCCTGGACTGGTGCAGAGCTGACCCTTATTTATATGTAGCTTGGGAAAACCAAAACCATAGACTGTATAATAAACAGTGGATGGAGCTTCTCTAAAAAGTGAAGCCAGTGGTGAAGTGCCTTAAACCTGCAGTCTGTCTAATTGCCAGCGGAGGCGGCTCCATTGGTTTAAAAAAGAAGTCAAATTGCATTTAGCCTTATGAGAAAAAGACCCTTCTTCTCACTTTATTTATTAGTGTTTATCTGTAGTACAAGAAAGTTTGACCACACCACCATTTTTTTCCTGCTTGAAATGGACAAGCCAAAACAAAGCACCGCCTAACTCACGGTAACCTGGAGGCGTAGCAATGCGTATCCTCCCCAGCTCTATGGTCACCTCTGGTTCCAAAAAAATAATGCCAAACTTGAGGCTTCAAAGCGGTTATCCACAAACCAAGGGGTGATGTCACAGTAGGTTCACACTTGACCAAGACAGATTGCAATTACATTTTCCAAAGAAAAAGATGCTACAGTTGACAGCTGGGAAAGAGCAGTTCAAAGAAGATAGAGTTGGAACACCCAACTCTTATCTTAAGCCTTTACCACAGGAGGACCTGTCTTTGACTCTCACTTCAAGATGAAGCATGGCATGCTGGCCAGAAAGTTTTTATAGCCCCTTCTAGGGACTGGCATTGGAAATTAGCAGTAGCTATAAATTATTTTATACATTGCATTGAATAAATGTTTTGCAGTTCTCTATGTATACTGTCTGTCCCTATCAAATAAGAGAGACAAATTAAAAATCACCTTGGTTGTACCTTGAATAATTGGTTATAGACTGGGTCCAATTTGGGGCTTTATATTTCATTGACATAATTCTCCCTTTCTTAAAAATGGGACAGTTGCTGGTAATTGATGCCATAATGAAAGCCTTTATTGACTGTAATGGTGTGACAAATTCTGTTTGGCAACAGGCTGAATTGAGGTTCTTGCCAATTTCCCAAACGCAGCTGATATCATAGGAACAGGCGATGGTGGTGGTAAAAACTGAATTTTACTTGTTTCTATACTACTGATAAAAATACATGCAAATGTCTAATCAGTGTTTATGTTAAAGGTCTTGTTTTATCACCATTTACTTTTTAATGCTGTATAATGTCAATATGTCTCTCTATCAGTGCCACCAAGTGACACTGCTGCACATTTGTTATGCATGGTGATTATTTCTGAGCTGAGTCTGAGCCTAATGATCAGCCACGATAAGCCATCTTCTCTGAGTCCCAAAACGTGGGGAGTATGAGGTTTTATTATTTCTGGAGCCGGTCCCACGGCCCAAGCCTCTGCAGCCCACTCTGGATTTCATGGAGCTCTCAGGCGGTGACCTCAGGAACAATGTGGGGTGCTGTGCTGATTCTGGGGACCAGGCGAGCCCAACTGCCCCCACCTGCTAGCAGCTTTACTGGCCTGGCCACCAGCCCCGAGGCCTGTTTCTACACTGCAAAAAATATCACCACATTTTATTTTGGTGTTTTAAAGTGATTATTTAGTCAAAATAACTATTCAGATCACTGTGTTATACGTTGAATTGAGCAATCTCATTTTTTGCTACAAGATTTGAGTCAAGAAAACAATTCTCAACAGCTGGAGTTAAGGTAGCAAACTATAAGGAGTGATTTACTGTCCCTGAGCAGAACCCTATTGAGACTTGTCGGATCTCAATGAGAAAAGTAACATTCGTAGTTGGCTTTTTGAGGCAAGTGCTGCAGTTTCTCTTGTTTAAACTCATTTTATTGACATAGAGAAGGCTTTAGTTGAAATTGATTTATACTGTTGTTTTGGAAAAATTAAGAATTTAAAGGTTAAATAAGACTAAGACTATGCAAAAAGCACATTTATTTTTTGCGGGGCAGGCCTGTCTGATCCTTCATGGGCGTCCAGCTGGGGGAGGAGGAGCCTCAGAGAGAGAATGTGTACGTGTGTAGGGGGTTACGTTACAATGATCCTTTACTCAGGTGTTAGTCCATACACACACATGCATAAACACAGACAGACACACACTTCGATAGCCACAGTAAAATCAGCTGTCAATGTGCACACACACTTTTTGTACTTTGATACTTGTGAGGACCCACATTGACTTCCTTAACTATCACAACTCCAACCCTTACCTTAACTTAAGACTTAACTTCCGACTTAAGGTCTGAACGTGTAATTGGTCCTCACAAGGATAGAGGAATGAGAAGATAGACACACACACCATGTAGATCACTTGGTCTTGTGTGAATCTGCTCTTCCCCACCTGCCTCAGCTGTAACGGGGGTCCACATATGAACAGTGGTAGATTGTAATACAGCACAATGCTGGCACGTAGAGAACGGGGGATGAACACCCTTTAAGCTCATAACTAGGCCGTAAGAAAAACATTACTCAGTGTTCTCCTTTTACTGTGTGCTGCCTCTGTCCCCCTTTTCACCATTATGCCTTCTGTTTTTGCTCTCAGTACCTCTCTGTCAATCATGATTGTTGCCAAGAAAATAGGAATATTAATTTCATGGAGTATTGGTTTGGATTCTGGGGTTTTGTGGTGATGAATAATACAAACAATAGTACACAGTATGTAAAATAATGATAATATAGAGTGCTTTCACTTTATTTGTTACACAAATTAATACAGTAAACATACAGTGAAGAATTAAATGATCGATTAATGATTAATTGCTTAAACACAGCAAAAATATAATTATTGGCTCTTGTAAAAATGCACAATTTTATAGTATTTACAGTTTAAAAATTAAAGTCTTAAAATAAGACTTCCCTTGTCACTTGAATTAAGAAAAATTCTTACAACTGTCTTATGTGGCAAATGAATCATGTAATATACATTTCAGACATTAAACAAACAGCCATGTTTGAGTGAACCTTGCCCACTGATAGCACTGATATCAGACATATAACACTATAAGGGCCATTATGATACTGTACCTACAGTATTACATTATTTTTCTATACACCAGCTTGCCTCATCACCAGCTTGCCTCATCCTATCCAGGGTTGTATTTTTTTGTGTATTGACTGATACACCAAGAAAAGACAACTTTTTCAGTTTGCGCATGTGCCAAAGTTGATTTTAAATCAAAAACACTGGCAGGGGAATTGACTCAAACAATGGCAAGATCTTTTATTTCATCTAGCTGTCTCATTGCTGTCACTTATGACGCCTCTTTTTGTTGTCATCTTTGAGCAAAGCAAACAGAGTGGCACCCAAAGCCACAATGCCTACACCTGCTGCAGCAACGCCTCCAATCACAGCTGCTGTTTGAACCTGCAAAAGACAAATGAGTAGCAGGCTGAAGGTCAAGGAAGTGCTGCTGAAAACATTTAACCATATCAATTGTGATTAATTTTTGCACACAACTATGTGTCAAGTTGTTTGTAGCACACCATACGGTCATGTTAAAAGTAGAATAATTGTACTGCCTTAGGTCCTGGTCAAACTATCATGGGAAGCAGACGAATGTGGAAGCTCATGTTTTATTTTCTGTGGCAGATGCATCTGACCTCTCTCAGATTTTCAACCCGATCTGGATCTATTCAGGCCAATCACAACTGTTTATCTAATATGGGACAGCTTTGAGACGATGATTATACAAAGGAGCACGACCTTATGTGAAAATGTTTATGTTGAATCCCATATCATGTCAGGATGATATATTTTCTATAAAAAAAGGAACAAACAACTGCACCTAAAGCTTTTGTTGATAAGAAAGAAGTGTTTGCTAAGATTTGGTAAGTTTAATTTAAGTGTTTGTGGCCCCAGGATGCAGTGTGTTGTTCTTAAATGGCTGTTGTTGTCTCAGCCACTGATGCTCTATTTTAGCAGGAAGTTTCCTGCAGCACCAATAGACATTAAATATGTACAAAATCTAGCTGTAGTCAATCTGATTGAGCAGCATGGCTGAAAAACAAGAAGGCTTATTTTGCATTCTGGATAATTACACAGTGGAGGTGACAGATGCACTAAGTGGGTTGATTAAACAAGCTTTTTTTGTAAACGAAAAATGAGGCTGTTAATCATCCTCTGTTGTTTGAAATATGGGCAATCACAATTTATTTAGCACCACATCTGCTTCTTATCAGCTGAAATAGATTGTGCTAGATCTGTGTATGGTCACAATGAATGAGAAGCTTATACGATAAACTCTTCCCGAATCCAGGTGCAGACACACACCAGGCTGTGTATCACTTTGATAAAGGGATTTCCCGCTGAAACATCAATAAAATATGTTACAACTTCATCTGTTAATATGTTCTGTTATGATTAGTGGAGAGGTTTTGGTTTTAGCTGAATGACTTCTGTTTCCTTTCAGTTCCTGGTTCAGTTTTTAGTGTAACTGTAGTTCCTGCTGCTTCCTATTGAAATAATTCAACTATCAGATAACTATCAGTCAAACCTATCAAACCCGTTCACAGGACTGGATTACCCTTCATGTTCCCCAGGTTAACTCTGTAAGACTGCTTTCAGATATAAATATTCCCTGATAACATTGGGAGATTTTAGAAATATGCTTATTAAATTTAATGATTTTACATGTAACTGTTTTAGTTAGGAATTTGTTTTTCTTAAACTAATGTTGATCTTTGCATCCTTATTGTCTTATTATTTTTTTTTTATTGCTTAATGTAATCTCAGCATCATTGAAAATCAGCATTCAACCTTTCTAAGATGTAAATAATGGTTGAATTGAATTGAACTGGACTAGCGACCACAAAGTGGGCTTTATTGTGAAGCAGCCACAGGAAATTTAAATATACAGGTTAATGCTGGTTGCCATTGATAGTTGCTTTTTGGCAGCAGAGCGTTTTTTCACACTTTGAAAACTATTTTCGCCAAGATGAGATGATTAGTACTTTTACATTTGAGCAGATCGCAGTTGTTTAATGAAATAATTGGAAATTAATTACTTTTTTCTTAGTAAAGTAAAAGAACATGAGGTGATAAATCCCCTCAGACCAGGGTTTTTTCTTTGACTGCTCTGTAAACATCCCAAATGTTGTTCTTATAATCTTGTAATGCAGATGTCACCAAACTATACTGATCTTGAGAATTATAACTTTAATAAAAGGATATTTTTGAGCAAATATCTGATTACACATTTATAAATGTAATCCATTCTTTCAAATAATCCTTTAAATATGTGTAGATCATTTGTGTGAAATAATTTATGATGCCAAAGCATGAATACCTTATAAATGCAAACTACAACATGCAAATCTGGTATTATGAAGCATACAAATTCATCTTTTGTCTTACAAAGATCCAGAGTTTATAAATTAAGTAGTCATGCAAGCAGTAGTATGAAAGCCACAGGGTACCCACCTGTTGAGACTCTGGCTTGCCGTATCGTAGCTCTGTGACAAAGTGCTCACAGTTGTGAGTGGTGAGTGAGTACGGCAGCTCCCGGCCCACCATGCTACAGGCCTCTCTCACGATGATGTGGCGCTCACGAGGCTGGCACTTGTCATCCAGGAGGTTGTTGATTTTGAATTCATGGGAGCCAACCACTTCCCAGATCTTCTGACGCCTCACCTGTGCTGTGTTGCTATCCAGGAGCATTAACATGTTACTAAAAGTGTCGGAATCATCAGCACCTGTGTGTGTATTATAGAAGAGACAGACAGGAAAGAAGTTAGAATAAAGTTGCTTGGAGAATAAAAAATAAAAAACGGCTACCCTGTATTGTAGTCATTAACTAATAAAATTAACATTAAGGAAAGAGGCAGACAGAAGGTTATAAATTGTCTCCCAAGAACAATGTAGTAAATCCAACACTTTACGCACATGGTGGAATCAAATGAACAACTTCATTTCCACCGATGTAGACGGCCCAGTGCTCATATGTCCCACGTGAGATCTGGATCAGGTCTCCGGGCTTTGCATCATTCTCAAACTAAAATGGTAAGAAAAACAACAACAATTTAATTTAGTAGTTTGTCAGTCAGTACTTAAAGGTATCGTCTTGAGTTTCTGGCCACTATTAGGAGACATTTTTATGGATAAATGTTTTACACTTGAGTTCCCGTTTTGTTTTGATGCATGTGCACAAGCATGCGGGTGAGGGGATACACCTTCCTGCCATCAGTTTCACACTACTCCACTAATCTACAGGTGCCAGTAATGCACCAAAAAATGCAGCAATGCACATACAAAGATGGGAAAGAAGAAGACGGCTAGCATGTAATCATGGAACTTTTAAGAGAAGAAGTTTGCAAATATGTGTTTGAAAGAAATCCTAGCAGGGCACCATGAAGCTGACTAGCGTGGGAATCATAATCACTGTAATGGTGAAAATCTCTGGCCTACTGAATGTTATTGTGTTTCATAAGTTCCTGCTGCTGCTTTAACAGTTAGTAGGAAATGCATAAAGAAGCAGAACAATGGACAAACAAACCCAGGGCAGAAGACGGCAAGTTAGCAAACATGGATATAAACAATGCACAAAAAAATGTATATATATATAAACATGAGTTTAAGTTATTTACAAGAAAACTCCACAGGACACCATGAATAATGATACAAGTCTCCTCTCGCTACCTTTGGCTTACTGTGTGTTTCTTTTTTCCTGACTGACATTATACTCAAACAATAAATGTATTAGGATATAAATCATAAAAATACAAGGCAAAGGAACACCCAGTTTAGTGTTTTGAGTATGTATGTGGACAGTTTTATTTTATGACGAATACACATCGTTATGTTAACACATTGTACTTGTTCTGTCACTATTTCAGTGTATTTAAAGTTGAAACATATTTAAATGTCTTGTTTTAAAAAATTACATTTATTTTTCTTATTCTAGTGTTTAGTGTTTCTGTGATTACATTTTTAGATTACTTTGACTAAAATGGTAACACATTGCTTTACAATAGCAAACTCAAAGTAAACTCTATATTAAAATGTTGCCAGTGTAAAAGAACACAATTTTGTATGAGCTTCAATTGAAACAGCTTCAAATCTACAATAACTCATCAGAGCTCAGCAGAAGGAGACTCACCAGTGTTGGAGCCATGTCTTCAGTTCTTCATCTATCAGGTGAGTACAGTACAGGGGCGACTTGGATCCAATGTATTGCAGTGGGAACAGAAACCTAAGTGCACTTACGTTACAGAAGCAAAAGTGTTGACACATGATAACGCGCGTTAAACACAGAGAGGCAAACAGAGTATGCACACTGTATAACCAGGCTGCATGGCCTCAATTTGCAAATCATTGACTTGATGAGTCAATGAAAATGTTGTTCTTGAGGACCTGCCAGGAGTGCAATAAAGGTGCAGTGAGCAGTAAACACTCATGCTACTGCAGTTGTTTCAACCAAACTGAAATTGTCACACAGTGAAAAAACCTCTCCATGCTTCACATTAATAAGGTGAAGCTCCTCCCTATCAGGTTATGTCTTATTTTAAGGTTTTTAGATCCTTCCTGGTAGCCTTTCCTGTTGTGCATAAAATAAATTGAGCTGAACTAAAAGACAAATTATCAAGCACATTTATCTTGAATTTCTGAAGCTTAATTGCTTATTTATTATTATTATAATTATACTTATTATTTTTCACCAGTTTTTGGTCATGAGGGTTTTGCACTGACCTGATCTTGATTCTAGTTTTAAGAAATATTATCAAGTTATTGTTATTTACTGTACCCAATTGGTCATATTTAGCATGTTTCTGTAGAGAATATTTTCCCTGCTTGTAGTAGTATATTTTTTTACAGTGCATATATATATACTGTAGGAATAATCCACTAAAAAACAGTGCCATTGATCTGTTAAGCGTTACCTATAATCTTTATCAGCATTATGTTTGGTGTGTTGCAATTTAATGATACATATATTGATAAGACCACGAAGGGTAAAACCAACAGTTCTACTGCACACTTATCAGAGAAGAATGCCTTTATTGGCTTTAATTCCAGTAAATTAACATGGTTTTTGGAAACTCAATACACATCGGGCACCTGATGAAAAGAAAGCAACACCAACGCACATAGTTCACAACAGAAGATAATCAGTACCCTGTACATATACAAAACTCTATGTATCTTGAAGCTTATTATGGAGGCGCAGCTCTTCACCTTATTGCCCTTAAGGTGACACAGAGAGACAAAGATGGACGGGTTAGTTAATGAAATGTCCCTCTAGAGTAAATTAATTTGTAAATGAGATGGCTCACCCTGAATCGCTCAAGGGTAAACAGGGCAACCTGGCTTATCCAACTGCAGAAAAAAACTGTTTCATTAACTCAACAACATTAATTCCACAGTCAACTAAGTGAATTACTTTAGTTTTTACAGTAATGAAAATATGGGTTTTATGTTATAATGTAGGTTGCATTTGTCTTAGTGTAATAAAATGAGCAATGAATACTACTACTGCCAACAAACACTGACAAATGATCACCGATCAGCCATAACATTCTGAGCACTGACAGGTGAAGTGAATAACACTCATTATCTGGTTATCAGGGCTCCTGTCAGTGGGTGGGATATATTACGCAGCAAGTGAACATTCTGTCCTTAAAGTTGATGTGTTAGAAGAAGGAAAAATGGGCAGCATGAGGATTTGAGTGACTTTGACAAGAGCCAAATTGTGATGGCTAGACGACTGAGTCAGAGCATCTCCAAACCTGTAGCTCTTGGGGTGTTCCCGGTCTGCAGAGGTCAGTACCTATCAAAAGTCGAGGAAGGAGACCAACCATCAACTCCTGAGGGAAATATCTGTCTCTTTAGCTGCTCTACTATGTTCACAAACTAGTTGCTAACTTTCTCAGTCTACCATTTAGTGTTGGGCAGGTGGCTTTTTGAGCTGCTGGCAGCTCCTGGAAATGCAGCTGTGGGAGTGAACCAAAACATTAACTCTGCCGACCAAAAAAACAAAACAAGGTGCTGAAAGATTCTGAAAAGTTCCATGGAGCTGAGGGAAACTACAGTTAGGTGTTCGTTCTCTTCATTACTATGAGCCACACCTTTCACATAGTAATTTATTATAGCTTTAACATGAAGCATGGTGGCATATATGTCAGCTTTTTTGGTGTTTTCGTTGTCTACATTTTGGTGAAATACACTTTTTTCAGCATCATCCATTTAGGAAAATCTTTTGGAAACTCAGTTTTTGTGTGAAAAGCAGAAACCTGAGATGTATGCACTTTGAATCCTTACCTGTGGCTGTGCCAGATATTTTTCTCAAGAGTTGGTGGAGATCAAATCAGAGCTAAACTGAGAGTAAATGTTGGATTTATCAGGTAGCCAGAAGTAAGACTCCACTGATTAATGTTGCTGTGTTTGCTGGAAGTAGGCAAGTACTAAGTAGGCAATCATTTGCTTATAACATCTTTATAGGTGATGATATGTCAGGGCTGTGTTCTTCAGCCCCCCCTAGTGGCCAGAATCTATCAAAGCAGCTTTAACAATCTAACACACAGATGTAGCAGTGGCAGGTGAAAGGAGGGAAGATCACACAAAGCGAACTGGAAAAAAGCTTCTTTTTTGTTTGCAGGAAAATGTCCAAGCTGGGAGACCTGGAAGTTAAATTTCTCCCCAGTTCCTCATTAAGTGCTTAAAACAGGAAGCCCTCAATCAGACCAGCACAGGGATCCCATCAGCCTTAGCTCTGCAGGATGTTTGGAGAAATTCCCCCCACTCAGATCAATGCTGCTGTGCTTTTTATTAAATACAGCTGTAATACAGTATGTCCTGCATCCCAGCCAAGAATCTTTTTTCTTCTTTCCCTTTTTTTTTCCCTTCTCTGTATTTTCTCTTCACTGTTCTGCTCTCTTCTGGTTGTCTTCACCTCATTGACAGCAGACAGAAGCCAGAAGAGGGATTTGACACCAAACATTCATCTCTCTTCCTGTCTGTCAGCACTGCCTTTTACCACAGCACCTGTTGAACTGCGTGCCATATATGCCGTCACCTGCCCGCTGCCTCACCCACCCTTTCAACATCATATACTGCATGTTTTCTCTCTTGTTCTTTCTCTTGCGGAGCACTAGAATAGCCCACTTAAGCAGAAGTATTGCACTTGAGACTGTACACTTGCAGTCTTTATATAAATGGGTAAAACCCCTCATTTTGTCTCTTCCAAGCTAGCCTATTCTTATATCTCAAAATGAAGGTGCTCTTTATGCTAATGGTTAGTTTATACCTATTATATATTGTTATATGAGCTATTTTGATGGATGAGGTTAGGCAACAAAAAAAACAAAAGTAGGTGAGGGAAAAATCACGGATACACTTATTTGTGGAGTGGCACTGAATTTTAGCATGTGAATTGTGACTTATATAATAATTAGCGGGACACTGTGCTCGATGTCTTCACGCCTGTATTCTTCCATTCTTTCCATTTGTTGTTTCATTCACTCCTGCCCTTTTTCTCAGTCTCTCAATTACTTCACATCCTTTTATTCTTCCCACCCTCTCATGACCACCCTCCCTCACCCTTCCACTTTTGGCCTCTTGACCTTTTCACTGGAGACTGTAGTGTGTGTGTGTGTGTGTGTATGTGTGTGTGTGTGCTGGAATTAATCAGAGCCTGAGGCAGAAAGCCGAGCTCCCATCTCTAACGCCGGCTTCCTCGTATCCCACCTAATCCCTTCCTTGGGTGCAGGCTACCTCTCCTCTTGCGACTGACGAGCAGTGGTAAAAACCCCTGGTGAGCTTCGACCGGCGCACATTCACTTTTCCCACCTCCTCCTCCTACAGTCGAAGCTCCTCCTCCCACTGCACCCCACTTACTGTAGGTTCAAGCAGGCAGGCAGGGCCGTGTCAGATGTTGGCCTTTGATATGCTAATACTTTCCTCTTTTTCATGTCTTTTTAAAGTATTGACTGGTAGCTATGCCAGCGCAGCGTGATCCTCGGCCTGTTATGCCGGGAGGAGGAGAGACTGTTGAGAGCGCTCTGCTTAGTCAGTGATTTGCACTCCTTTCCTTTTCACCGTGTCTTAAAGGAAGAAATAACTCAAAGCAAAAAACTAATTTATAACTTTAGACACGATGGTTTATCAGATAGTAGGGTATTCAATTGATCAATTAAGTTAATTTAAAAGTAATAAATACAACATTTAAATTATTCATTATTTATGTAAATAAATGACTTTTTTAGATTACAAAATTTGGGCTTGGGATTTTATAACTAGACTCTTTTGTGACTTGTGACTTGCCCAAGCCTTATTATATTATAAGTAATCCTAATTTACATCACTAAAGAAATTGTAAAAAAAACTCTTTATAAAGTCTTCATTATTATAAGTAAATTTTAAAAGGTAAAAGAAAAACCTTATTTCCTTATTTAATTAAAAAATAACAGCATAAATAAATGTTGACTAAAGTCTTTTAAAATGTCTATATTTTGGTGTTTTAGATTAAACTCTGTGGCTCTAACTCAGCCTGGACTACTTTTTTACAACAGAACAAGCCCAGCTGAAGCCACCTCCTGTACCCACATTCAACCACAGGCAGACCGTAAATCATGCCGGCTGTTTGGCAGAAGTCGTGGATCATCGTACAATGGTTAATTAAAGCCAGATCAATCCCAGTGCCACCGGTCTTTTCTTTGCACTGCGTCTACGGAAAGCAGTCCCACGGTACCTTCAGCCCAACGAGCGATGAGGAGGAGGAGAATGAGGAGGAGGAGGCCTGTGATGTTTGCTCAGGGCTAGAAAAGAGGCTGCCACTCATATTTGTACAGAGGACAAAGCCACGCAGGCTCTCTGGCACCATATGAAAGATGTGTTTTCACAGCACGTACAGCAAATACAACTGTTCACTTTTTTTAAAGCCATCGCCAAATTTCAGGAAAATTTGTTTTGTGCCAGTTGCCATGGTGACTGGTCAGCGCAGTGAGCAGAGGATAGTCGGGGGCGACTGGGGCCAGAGTTCACATCTGAGTTCCTTATTACTGTAGTGGTGGCATACTGTGCATAACTACACTGAAAGGTGGTTTGGATATTAAAAAGAGAAAAAATTAACATAAAAATGTTAAATGGTGAGAACAAACAAACAGGGGTTTGTCCACT